GTGTGTGAGTGCCTGTATGTGTGAGTGCGTGTGTGTGTGTGTATGAGTGTCTGTGTGTGAGTGCCTGTATGTGTGAGTGCGTGTGTGTATGAGTGTCTGTGTGTGAGTGCCTGTATGTGTGAGTGCGTGTGTGTGTGTGTATGAGTGTCTGTGTGTGAGTGCCTGTATGTGTGAGTGCGTGTGTGTGTGTGTATGAGTGTGTGTGTGTGAGTGCCTGTATGTGTGAGTGTGTGTGTGTGTGTGTATAAGTGTGTGTGTGTGAGTGCCTGTATGTGTGAGTGCGTGTGTGTGTGTGTGTGTATGAGTGTGTGTGTGAGTGCCTGTATGTGTGAGTGCGCTGCACTGGGGGAGCTTGTGGTGAGTGCCTGTGTGTGTGAGTGAGTGAGTGCCTGTGTGGGTGAGTGCCTGTGTGTGAGTGAGTGACTGTGTGAGTGTGTGTGTGAGTGCCTGTGTGAGTGTGTTAGTGTGTGTGTGAGTGTGTGTGTGTGTGAGTGTGTGAGTGAGTGCCTGTGTGAGTGTGTTAGTGTGTGAGTGAGTGTGTGAGTGAGTACCTGTGTGTGTGTTAGTGAGTGCCTGTGTGAGTGTGTTAGTGTGTGTAAGTGAGTGTGTTAGTGAATGCCTGTGTGTGTGTGAGTGCCTGTGTGAGTGTGTGTGAGTGTGTGTGAGTGCCTGTGTGAGTGAGTGCCTGTGTGTGTGAGTGTGTTAGTGAGTGAGTGTGTTAGTGAGTGCCTGTGTGAGTGTGTTAGTGAGTGTGAGTGTGTTAGTGAGTGCCTGAGTGTGTTAGTGAGTAAGTGTGTTAGTGAGTGCCTGAGTGTGTTGGTGAGTGAGTGTGTTAGTGAGTGACTGTGTTAGTGAGTGCCTGAGTGTGTTAGTGAGTGAGTGTGTTAGTGAGTGCCTGTGTGTGTGTGTTAGTGTGTTAGTGAGTGCCTGAGTGTGTGTTAGTGAGTATGTTAGTGAGTGCCTGTGTGTGTGTGAGTGTGTTAGTGAGTGCCTGTGTGTGTTAGTGAGTGTGTTAGTGAGTGTGTTAGTGAGTGCCTGTGTGAGTGTGTTAGTGAGTGTTAGTGAGTGTCTGTGTGTGTTAGTGAGTGTGTAAGTGAGTGTGTTAGTGAGTGCCTGAGTGAGTTTGTTTGTGAGTGTGAGTGAGTGTGTTAATGAGTGCCTGAGTGTGTGTTAGTGAGTATGTTAGTGAGTGCCTGTGTGTGTGTGAGTGTGTTAGTGAGTGCCTGTGTGTGTTAGTGAGTGTGTTAGTGAGTGTGTTAGTGAGTGCCTGTGTGAGTGTGTTAGTGAGTGTGTTAGTGAGTGTCTGTGTGTGTTAGTGAGTGTGTAAGTGAGTGTGTTAGTGAGTGCCTGAGTGAGTTTGTTTGTGAGTGTGAGTGAGTATGTTAATGAGTGCCTGAGTGAGTGTTAGTGAGTATGTTAGTCCGTGCCTGTGTGAGTGTGTTAGTGCCTGTGTGAGTGTGTTAGTGAGTGTGTGTGTGTGTTAGTGAGTGTGTGTGTTAGTGAGTGTGTGTGTTAGTGAGTGTGTTAGTGAGTGCTTCTGTGGGTGTGTTAGTGGGTGTGTTAGTGAGTGTGTTAGTGAGTACTGCTGTGGGTGTGTTAGTGAGTGCCTGAGTGTTAGTGAGTATGTTAGTGAGTGCCTGTGTGAGTGTGTGTGTGTTAGTGAGTGTGTGTGTTAGTGAGTGTGTTAGTGAGTGTGTTAGTGAGTGCTGCTGTGAGTGTGTTAGTGTGTGAGTGTGTTAGTGAATGAGTTAGTGAGTGTGTGACTGTGTTAGTGAGTGCTGCTGTGGGTGTTAGTGGGTGTGTTAGTGAGTGCTGCTGTGGGTGTGTTAGTGAGTGTGTTAGTGAGTGTGTTAGTGTATGGGTGTGTTAGTGAGTGCTGCTGTGAGTGTGTTAGTGTGTGAGTGTGTTAGTGAATGAGTTAGTGAGTGTGTTAGTGAGTGTGTTAGTGAGTGTGTTAGTGTATGGGTGTGTTAGTGAGTGTGTTAGTGAGTGCTGCTGTGAGTGTGTTAGTGTGTGAGTGTGTTAGTGAATGAGTTAGTGAGTGTGTTAGTGAGTGTGTTAGTGAGTGTGTTAGTGTATGGGTGTGTTAGTGAGTGTGTTAGTGAGTGCTGCTGTGAGTGTGTTAGTGTGTGAGTGTGTTAGTGAATGAGTTAGTGAGTGTGTGACTGCGTTAGTGAGTGCTGCTGTGGGTGTGTTAGTGGGTGTGTTAGTGAGTGTGTGAGTGTGTTAGTGAGTGCTGCTGTGGGTGTGTTAGTGAGTGTGTTAGTGAGTGGGTGTGTGTGAGTGTGCTAGTGAGTGTGTTGGTGTGTTAGGGAGTGTGTTAGTGAGTGCTGCTGTGGGTGTGTTAGTGAGTGTGTTAGTGAGTGGGTGTGTGTGAGTGTGCTAGTGAGTGTGTTGGTGTGTTAGGGAGTGTGTTAGTGTGTGTGTGTTAGTGTGTTAGTGAGTGTGTTAGTGAGTGTGTGGGTGTGTTAGTGAGTGTGTTAGTATGTGAGTGTGTTAGTGAATGAGTTAGTGAGTGTGTGAGTGTGTTAGTGAGTGCTGCTGTGGGTGTGTTAGTGGGTGTGTTAGTGAGTGCTGCTGTGGGTGTGTTAGTGGGTGTGTTAGTGAGTGTGTGAGTGTGTTAGTGAGTGTGTGAGTGTGTTAGTGGGTGTGTTAGTGAGTGTGTGAGTGTGTTAGTGAGTGCTGCTGTGGGTGTGTTAGTGAGTGTGTTAGTGAGTGGGTGTGTGTGAGTGTGTTAGTGAGTGAGTGTGTTAGTGAGTGTGTGGGTGTGTTAGTGAGTGTGTTAGTGTGTGGGTGTGTTAGTGAGTGTGTGGGTGTGTTAGTGAGTGTGTTAGTGAGTGAGTGTGTTAGTGAGTGTGTTAGTGTGTTAGTGAGTGGGTGTGTGTGAGTGTGTTAGTGAGTGTGGGTGTGTTAGTGAGTGTGTTAGTGAGTGAGTGTGTTAGTGAGTGTGTTAGTGTGTTAGTGAGTGTGTGTGTGTGAGTGTGTTAGTGAGTGTGTTAGTGAGTGAGTGTGTTAGTGGGTGTGTTAGTGAGTGTGTTAGTGAGTGAATGTGTTAGTGAGTGTGTTAGTGAGTGTGTTAGTGAGTGAGTGTGTCAGCGAGTGTTAGTGAGTGAGTGTGTTAGTGGGTGTGTCAGTGAGTGAGTGTGTCAGTGAGTGTGTCAGTGAGTGTGTCAGTGAGTGAGTGTGTCAGTGAGTGTGTCAGTGAGTGAGTGTGTCAGTCAGTGAGTGTGTTAGTGAGTGAGTGTGTCAGTGTGTCAGTCAGTGAGTGTGTTAGTGAGTGAGTGTGTTAGTGAGTGGGTGTGTCAGTGAGTGAGTGTGTTAGTGAGTGAGTGTGTTAGTGAGTGGGTATGTTAGTGAGTGGGTGTGTTAGTGAGTGGGTGTGTGAGTGTGTTAGTGTGAGTTTGTTAGTGAGTGGGTTTGTTAGTAAGTGTGTTAGTGAGTGTGTTAGTGTGTGAGTGTGTTAGTGAGTGTGTTAGTGAGTGTGTGGGTGTGTTAGTGAGTGTGTTAGTGGGTGTGTTAGTGAGTGGGTGTGTTAGTGAGTGGGTGTGTTAGTGAGTAGGTATGTTAGTGAGTGTGTTAGTGAGTGTGTTAGTGAGTGAGTGTGTTAGTGAGTGAGTGTGTTAGTGAGTGGGTGCGTCAGTGAGTGAGTGTGTTAGTGAGTGAGTGTGTTAGTGAGTGGGTGTGTTAGTGAGTGGGTGTGTTAGTGAGTGGGTGTGTTAGTGTGTGAGTTTGTTAGTGAGTGTGTTAGTGAGTGAGTGTGTTAGTGAGTGGGTGTGTTAGTGAGTGGGTGTCTTAGTGAGTGTGTTAGTGAGTGAGTGTGTTAGTGTGTTGGTGAGTGTGTTAGTGAGTGGGTGTGTTATTGAGTGGGTGTGTTAGTGAGTGAGTGTGTTAGTGAGTGGGTGTGTTAGTGAGTGAGTGTGTTAGTGAGTGGGTGTGTTAGTGAGGGAGTGTGTTAGTGAGTGTGTTAGTGAGTGTGTCAGTGTGTCAGTGAGTGTGTCAGTGTGTCAGTGAGTGTGTCAGTGTGTCAGTATGTCAGTGTGTCAGTGAGTGTGTCAGTGAGTGTGTCAGTGAGTGTGTCAGTGAGTGTGTCAGTGAGTGTGTCAGTGTGTCAGTGAGTGTGTCAGTGAGTGTGTCGGTGTGTCAGTGAGTGTGTCAGTGAGTGTGTTAGTGAGTGTGTCAGTGTCAGTGAGTGTGTCAGTGTCAGTGAGTGTGTCAGTGAGTGTGTCAGTGTTAGTGAGTGTGTTAGTGAGTGTGTCAGTGTCAGTGAGTGTGTCAGTGTCAGTGAGTGTGTCAGTGTTAGTGATTGTGTTAGTGAGTGTGTTAGTGTCAGTGAGTGTGTCAGTGTCAGTGTGTCAGTGTCAGTGTGTCAGTGTTAGTGAGTGTGTTAGTGAGTGTGTGAGTGTGTCAGTGAGTGTGTCAGTGTCAGTGAGTGTGTCAGTGTCAGTGAGTGTGTCAGTGTTAGTGATTGTGTTAGTGAGTGTGTTAGTGTCAGTGAGTGTGTCAGTGTCAGTGTGTCAGTGTCAGTGTGTCAGTGTTAGTGAGTGTGTCAGTGTTAGTGAGTGTGTTAGTGTCAGTGAGTGTGTCAGTGTGTTAGTGAGTGTGTTAGTGAGTGTGTCAGTGTGTTAGTGAGTGTGTCAGTGTCAGTGAGTGTGTCAGTGTCAGTGAGTGTGTCAGTGTTAGTGAGTGTGTCAGTGTCAGTGAGTGTGTCAGTGTCAGTGAGTGTGTTAGTGAGTGTGTCAGTGTGTTAGTGAGTGTGTCAGTGTGAGTGAGTGTGTCAGTGTGAGTGAGTGTGTCAGTGTGTTAGTGAGTGTGTCAGTGTTAGTGAGTGTGTCAGTGTCAGTGAGTGTGTCAGTGTCAGTGAGTGTGTCAGTGTTAGTGAGTGTGTTAGTGAGTGTGTCAGTGTCAGTGAGTGTGTCAGTGTCAGTGAGTGTGTTAGTGTCAGTGAGTGTGTCAGTGTCAGTGAGTGTGTCAGTGTCAGTGAGTGTGTCAGTGGTGCTGTGGGGTACAGGTTGTGGTTGTGGTTGTGGCGCTGCGCTGCTGATCGCGCGGGAGGCGGCGCTCCGACTGTGTGAGTGAGTGAGTGAGTGAGTGTCTGCTCTGTGTGTGTGTGTGTGTGTGTGTGTCTGTGCCCTCCCGGACCTGTCCGGCTGTCCGGCTGCCGTGTGTGTGTGTGTGTGTCCGGCAGTGCTGTGTGTGTGTGTGTCCGGCAGTGCAGTGCAGTGCTGTGCCCTCCCGGACCTGTGTGACCCGCTGACCGCGTGTCGGGTGCTATGGCGTCCAGTGAGGAGGACGGTGCGGTGGAGGAGAAGGAGCAGCACAGGAGGCAGAGCGCGGTGGCCATGGCGTGGCTCACCCTCTACAACATCACCATGACCGCTGGGTAGGAAGGGCCCCGACACCGCCCACACGGCGACCGGAGACTCTCATTGTCATTTTCTTCTTTTTTTCTTTTCTTTTGACTGTTTTGCAAAGCTCAGCTCCGGGATTTTGCGGTGCGGGGGTGTGTGTGGGGGGGGGAGGGGGGGGGTGGGGGTGGGGTGGGGGTGTGGAGGGAAGGGGTGAGGGAGGGGGGGGTGTGGGGGTGAGGGGGGAGGGAGGGGGGGTGTGTGGGGGTGTGGGGGGAGGGAGGGGGGGGGGGGTGTGGGGGTGTGGGGGGAGGGAGGGGGAGGGAGGGGGTGTGTGGGGGGGGGTGGGGGTGTGGGGGGGTGTGTGGGGGGTGTGGGGGGGAGGGAGGGGGTGTGGGGGGAGGGAGGGGGGTGTGGGGGTGTGTGTGGGGGGAGGGAGGGGGGGGGGGGTGTGGGGGGAGGGAGGGGGGGTGTGTGTGGGGGGAGGGAGGGGGGGGGGGGTGTGGGGGAGGGGGGGGGTGTGTGTGGGGGGAGGGAGGGGGGGGTGTGTGTGGGGGTGTGGGGGGAGGGAGGGGGGTGGGGGGGAGGGGGTGGGGGGGAGGGAGGGGGTGTGGGGGGAGGGTGTGTGGGGGTGTGTGTGGGGAGGGAGGGGGGGGGGTGGGGGGGTGTGTGTGTGAGGGGGAGGGGGTGTGGGGGGAGGGAGGGGGGGGTGTGGGGGTGTGTGGGGTGGGAGGGGGGGGGTGGGGGTGTGTGTGTGAGGGGGAGGGGGTGTGGGGGGGTGGGGGGAGGAGGGGGGGGTGTGGGGGGGAAGGAGTGTGGGGGTGTGTGGGGGTGGGAGGGGGGGGGTGGGGGGTGTGTGTGTGTGAGGGGGAGGGGGGTGTGGGGGGAATGATTAATATTCTTTATTTTGTATTTTCCACCCACTCATTCCTCTCTAATTGTAAGAGACATAACGTAATGTTACAGCAGTTGTGTGTGACTGTGAGTGAGAGTGAGTGTTTGAGTGTGTGTATGTGTGTGACTCTGTATCTGAGTGTGAGTGAGTGTGTGTGTGAGTGTTTGAATGTGTGTGTATAACTGAGTGTATCTGTGAGTGATTGAGTGTGTGAGTGTGTGTGAGAGTGAGTGTCTGAGTATAAGTGAGTGTGCGAGTGATTGTCTGAGTGTGTAAGTGAGTGAGTGTGAGTGTGTGTGAGAGTGATTGCCTGAGTGTGTAAGTGAGTGAGTGAGTGTGTGTGAGAGTGATTGCCTGAGTGTGTAAGTGAGTGAGTGTGTAAGTGTGTGAGTGTGTGTGAGAGTGATTGCCTGAGTGTGTAAGTGAGTGTGTAAGTGAGTGTGTGTTGAATGGGAGAGTGTGTGGCGGAGTCCTGCATTTCCTTATTAGGTCCATTACAGAAGCAGCGTCATCTTTCTTCGCAACTGCTGTTAAGTATAGATTGACACTGTCCAGAGAGGAATTCCAGAGGAGTGGTCTATCTGCTTTCCTTGGCATTTTTACCCCTCCCTCCCTCCCTCCCTCCCTCCCTCTTCCTCCTACCCACACACTCAAGTCAAAAGTTGTTTTAAGTTACACTTTTCTGCTGCGAAGAAATAGATTAATTTCGCCCCCTTTCTAAAACAAGAACACTACTACGACTTCATTTACGAGCTGTCAAATATTTATAGCTCACTGGATAGTCAGCTTGTTTTATTTGAGCAGATTTTCCAGTTTATAACCTTGTTATCTTTGCAAGTATTTAAACGTGTGCTTGACTTAAAAATGCTGTGCGTGAAAAGAAAGGATTCCAGACTCCCATATTTATCCATTGACATTGAATTGAGGAATGGAGGTTAATAATATAATAGAAAATATGTTTCACATGCAGTTAGGTTTCTATCTGGGAGAAAGAAATCATTTTATTAGCAGTATTTTGAAATGAAGTTTGCATGGTCTCGCGTTAACATGTTTCAGTTTTTATCTGCATGTCAATGTGACAAACTGAGTTAGATTATTTTATTGATGGCTGTATCAGTAAAATATTCCTTTGATGACTGAACATGTTTTAATGTTTGGTGCCAAAAGTACAACAGTACTGTCTGGCAATGATAGAGAGAGCACCCAGGTCAGTAAATCAATTCAAAAGCGACTGTAGTTAAAACATTTCAAAACAGAGGCAATATTCTGCCTGCGATCATTTTTACTCTGACTGCTTTCAATGTAGGGAAACAACTTGAGCGGAATATATGTGGGTTCACACATTCTGACATGGGTTTTAATACAGTGGTATACATTTTACGTTTTGTTCTGGAAACAGCAACCAAGGCAAGTGTTAGGGAACAGATCTGGTTATCATTAGTAATAGTACAGATTCTGATTAGCTTAGTCCTGGTTACAGACAGACCAGGCCTTAATCTATGGCAAATGTGCAAGATAAGTGTGACGAACATTGTTGTGTTACTATTATAAGGAATGTGAATGAGAATGTGCATGATCTACTGATCGATGGGGACTCAGGCACCATTTACTGAGAACTAGGGAGTGCTCATTGTTTCAGGTGCAGTAAACTCACATTGCATTGTATTACGGTATGTTAATGTGCTAGAAGGCCATTCACACCATCGTGTCTGTGCTGGCTCACTGATTTATTCAGTTCCATTTACCTGTCTTTACCCCATAGCCCTGCAACTTACTCCTTTTTAAATATGCATCTAGTTCCCACTTGAAAGCTATTGTAGATCCTGACTTGACCATCGCTCCTCACATTGGATTCCGCATTCTAACAACTCCCAGTGTAAAACAAATCCTTCTAATCTCCCTCTTAGCTCCTTTGGTAACTACACTAAAACACTGGCTAGATTGTTGGGGGGAGATCCAGTCTGGCGAGCCAGAATTTCCAGCTACGTATAGTTATAATGCTGGTACCCGCAAGCAGTAAGCAGTAAATAGCAAATAAACTGAGTGAAAGTTGATATCCCTGGCCGCTGAAGGCCAGCAAGGACTGAGAGGTGGGAGCACACGCGAGGAGAGGTGAACTGGTAGGAGTCCACATGCCATTGTATCAAGTCCGGCCAGATCCGAATTCCAGATACTCAGAATCTGTAAACCAGGGATTTATTGTATCTTACATTGATGCCCTCTTGTCACTGACTGACTTACCAGTGGAAATAATTTCTCTGTATCTAATCCATCAAAATTCCTTTTAATTTTTAACGACGACTATCAGTTTTCCCCTCAACCTTCTCTGTAGCAGTGAAAATATGTCAAAGAGGTACGTTTTTAGGCAGTTTTTATAATAAATACAGAGGGGCCAGATGGAGATGTTGAGGGACGGATGTCCAAGGGGTTAGGGAATAGTGGCTGAAAGCTCAGCCGCTCACAGATTGTCAGTGGAGGTGGGGAATGTGCAACAAGCCTGAGTTTATCAAGATGAGGGGGGGGGGGCGAGCAGAAGAATGAAGATAGAGAAAATTATAGAAGGAGGTGTGAGGAAATGAAGGGATTGTAAGTGAGGATTTTGAAGTTGATCTGCTAGGTGACAGGGAGGCAGGGGAGTCTGATGAGGCTGGAGATAACAGGGATATAACATTTTGTGTCGGTAAGGATTGCAAGTGTCAGAGGAGCCTGGCTTCTATTTTGCCCATTTTTAACTGATACAAATTTAGGCTCTTTCAGGACATAATGTTAAATGTTAGATGTGGGAACCAGTCCACTGTTTGCAGATGATTTCACCAAAGGGGCACATGTAGATAAGGTCGAGGAGGGTGCTGAGGATTGCACTCTGAGATACCCTGCAAGTGACCTTAGGACGGCAAAAGAAAAAGCCATTAGAGGAAACAAAGTGGAGATGATGGTATTGGAACCTAAAAGTGCAATCCCATGGAGGTGGATGAGAGAGGAGAGGTGATTGAGGAGGATAGAGTGGTTGACTGTATCAAAGACATCAGAGAAATCGAGGGGACATAGGAAGCCCTTGTCACAGGGTGAGAGTACATCATTCATTTGCAACTTTGATGAGGGCTGTCTCAGTCCTGTGGGCAAGGCAGAAACCGGAGTAGAGTAGTCGTGCAAGGAGTGAGGGGAGAAGTTGGAGTGAAGTTGGACAGGAATGATGTATTCTGAGACTTTGAATAGAAAGGGTATGTTGCAGATTGGCTTGTAGGTGGAAAGTCTTGAACAGTTAAGGGTAAGTTTATTTGTGGAAGGGGATGATGATGGCGGTTTTGATAGGGTGAAGAACAGTGCCGGAAGTTAGGGAAAGTTTGACAACATCTGTAAGCAAGGGGTTATCAACCCAATACTAATTTGTATTTATATAGAGCCTTTCATGTTCGGAGGATGTTCCAAAGCACTTGATAGTGCTGGCTGGGCACCAAGCTTGGGGTGGAGAAAGGAAAGATCACTGAAAGTGTGGTCAACGAGGTACATCTGGAGATGGAGCTTAAATAGATGAGGGAGAGACAGTATAAAAACATTCCAGGCAGAGGGCGAAACCTTTGGCAAGTTTCCTTACTCCACACGCCTAATAATAATCCCTTCAAAAACCAAAAACAATAATTAATTGGTCATTTTCAATCTACGACTGTTTGTGGGACATTGCTGTGCGCAATTGGCTGCCGCGTTCGCCCACAAATATACAGTCAATTCACTTTGCAGTATGTTCTGTGAAGCGCTTTGGGACGTCCTCCCGACGTGAAAAGCGCTATATCAAATGCAAGGATTATTATTATTATTATTATCCTTAAAAGCCCAGGACCTAATTTAATCAAGCAGTGGGCAATTCTTTGAGGGATAGCCTCATACTGTTTAGGCTCTCTCCATGTGCTCCGGAATAACTAAACCTGTTCCTAAGGCTTGAACATTATTAAAAGTTGAGGGAGTATCTGGCTCTTTATAGTGATATTAAAAGAAATCAGCATTCAGCCTCAGTAGTGGAGCTCTGCGTATATGCTTCAGTGCCCATGCTTAAGAGTTTGTTTTCCTTGCACTGAGCTCAGGATGAAAGAGATGTGGGACTGGCAGTATAACGTCAATCTCTCTGCTCGATTAGGTGTACTG